GAGTCTCCTCCTCTTCGTCATCCATTGAGATAGATCCTAGGTGATTCCCTGGCCTTTTCCCTGCCTCAGTCCCTCTTCCCTTCTCAAAGATTTTGTTCTCTATCCTCTCTTGCTTTGTTTCCTTTCCTTGTTTGTTTGCGTGTTTCTTGTCCGACTGCCCATACATACATATTTCGTTCGCGAACGGATTCTTGATTCATTCAGAGTCCTGGCCCCTTCATCGATTTTTTTGAGGTTTCTGCACTGGAGGTTGTAATTATGGAAATTCAGCCGTATAAGCTTCTTTAGATCTCATTTTCCTCTTTTTTAATCCATGGGATTTCCTTGCATGATTTACAATTGGGTTTATCCACGGTTATATATGATGAGTATGTGGTAGGAGCAAAGAGCCCTATGTTTTTCTCTGCGATTTGTTCAGGTGGCACGCCGTTAAGGTACTGTTTGCTATTCGATCGTGCTAGCAGAGGCCAGCCACAGGGTGTTTTTTCCCTTCCATTTTAGAGTAGATCATAGTTTCCCCTGTGTTTTCATTCTAGAGTAGATCATAATTTTCCATTTTTATTCCACTGGGTCGTTTCTTGTAAACAGTCTTAATTCCATAAGTAGGGTAAAATTGTCCTGTCCTGTGTCCCTTTGCAGTCTTCTTCAGGACATGTCTCACATATGGCACTGTACTAGTCCTGCTAAACTACCAATTTCTTGGGTAGAGAACCGCCAAATCTGTCCAACGTGTGGTCAATGTTTGCTTATATGGAGACCTCGGCTGAATCTGGAGTTACAAAGGTAGCATCCCATATCTCTGGTGCTCTTTCCCGCGGCCATGAGTATTGGAACATCAGATCGTCTAGTAAACTGAATCAACACTTTGAATTATCCTTGAAAATATGCCTGTGGACCATGCAAAGATGGTTCTACTTGGAGGGATAATATTTTACAGCTGTAGCTATTAGGTACGACTTGAACTAATCTAAACAAATCCGCTACTTCTATAATACGGTGGCAACGGTTGGTGTTTCCCAGATTTATCGACTGGTATGAACTAGGGGATTTGATTGAGTGATTCTGTCATCTGCTCAATAGGGGTCGGGAGGATTCGTTGTCATAAAGGTTCAAATACTGCTCAACCTGCTTGACTAAATTTAGTCTACCTGTATGTGGCTCTTATGCAAAGGAGGCTTTGACTTATTCTATTGTCTGCTTGACACGCCCTTTTATGTCCTGATATTCCGACGATAGAGGATTCTTTCTGGTGAAAAGAGAGCTTTCATCAATCAAATATGCTATGGTAGAAGTCTAGAAGATATTCTATCTATCAAATAACTTCGTTTGTGCCAATTTGTTATACCTTCCCGTCTACGTACTCTCCATACGCCATATAAGGATTTGGATTTGCCAAAAGGGAACTTCAATTTTGCGAGGTTTTGATTGATTATTTTGTCATATCGTCGTTCCTTATTTTGCGAGGTTTTGTTGAAACGCATCTCATGAATATTCACTCTACCACAGACCTTTGTTTGTCTACTAGTACTAGTTTAGTCCTCCTTTGGACGATTGTGTTAGATTCCAAGATTTTCTGTGGTAAGAGTGGAGCCAGATCATCAATCAGACCACTGGGGCAACCACGGCCCCACAAAAAAAACAGGCAGGGCAGATTCTAGTAGCCTCAAATGATCAATTAGTTTGAGCAATTTAACATCCTCTTCAGGAGCCAATGGTTTATTCTTTTACGAAGTTGTGTGCAAGTATGGCTAAACTGGTCTCTTATTTTTATTTTGAGAAATTTCTGATTTGTTTTTTCTGTTCATCAGCACCGATTCATTCCAATATGCACTTAATATTGCTATTTTAAAGTCATGTTAAGTTCCACCTCTTAGGGTATGAACACAATCTGACTTACTAACTCCATTTCTTTGCAGTATCGTTGTAGTTTGAAGATTATCTTGGCAATTGAGCTCTTCTGCTTCTGCCTAATGCTCAACAATTTATAAATCAACAAAAAGGAAAAGGGACAGTGGATGGTCAAATACCAAGATCAGAACACTGCTGTATCAGACGGTTTAGTCTGCCAGGGCTCAAGTACCTTGTGGGTGACGATTTTTGCTGAGGCCAGAAGGTAAATGGACAGGGCAGACACATCAGGTTTTGTTAGTAGCGGATTCAACGGTACCTCGCTGCTGATGATATTCTTCGACTTCGTCTTCTCTCTCATGCACATATGAATTACCAGATCAAGAATCACTGATATTCTGTTGCCTGGAGATACTTGTTCCCCATCCACCACACAGTGTATAAAGGTTTTTTTCTTTTCGAAAAAGGCGGTGTATAAAGTTATTAGATGAATAACGGTTACGCAGATATGCGTCACCGTGGAAGGCAGCCCCTGATGGACAGCTCTTCGGTGTTGATGTCTGGGCACTTGGCGCCGGGCTACACTACTGTCGGCCATGGTCAGAGTCAGACCTCATTTTCCTTGGACTTCCGGGGTTCGGCAATGGACAACTGCAGCCGTGGCAACAGGGGTGTCCAGCGGTCTGGTCATGCTTCTGCCCAAGATGATGCGTGCAGGCTGGTACTTGGACTGGGTCCGTCGCCGGAATCTAGCTCTGTGAATTACCAGCAGCCTGACGGAGGAGCAGGCAAGTCGAAAGCACCGGTGACTCTGCTTGGCCGGAGTTTATCGTTCACTAATCCTGGGACGATGACCCTTGGGCTTCATGATCAGGTGGGTAATGCTGAAGCTATCGCTCGGCATTTTGAACCGCCTGGAGGAAACATCATCTCCTTCTTCGGTGTCGACGAGAGCTCGACGTCGGCCAGGAGGAGCTCCGGTGGCTACATTCCGTCGCTGCTCTTCGCGTCTCGGCCGAATCTTTGTGTTCCTCAAGAGAATCGGGCAGAGGGGCATGATGAACTGCTGGATGATCACACGGACAACGGCAATGATAGTGCCGAGCATCGCCTTCAATTCAGCTCTGAACCTTCTGCAACGACAATGACAGAGACTTCGTTCGGTATGAGCTCTGATGTTGTCACCGGTGTAACTGATCGTGGACAGCCGGTTCATCGCCGGTTTCCGAAGAAGTGCAGGTTCAAAGGGTGCTCTAAAGGTGCGAGAGGTGCATCAGGCCTGTGCATTGCCCATGGCGGCGGGCAGAGGTGCCAGAAGCCCGGGTGCTACAAGGGTGCCGAGAGCCGAACAGCCTACTGCAAGGCCCATGGAGGCGGCCGGCGGTGTATGCAGCTCGGCTGCACTAAGAGCGCCGAGGGAAAGACGGATCACTGCATTGCCCACGGCGGAGGTCGCCGATGCGGACACAACAGCTGCCCTAAAGCCGCGCGTGGCAAGTCCGGGCGATGCATCAAGCACGGAGGAGGGAAGCGGTGCGCGGTTGAGGACTGCATCCGGAGCGCCGAGGGGAAGGTCGGGTTCTGCATCTCCCACGGCGGCGGCCGCCGTTGCCAGTACCCGGACTGCCGCAAGGGGGCGCAGGGCAGCACGCTGTACTGCAAGTCCCACGGCGGCGGCAAAAGGTGCGTCTTCGAGGGCTGCGCCAAGGGCGCGGAAGGCAGCACGCCGCTGTGCAAGGCGCACGGCGGCGGGAAGCGCTGCATGCACGAAGGCGGCGGCGTGTGCCCCAAGAGCGTCCACGGGGGCACCAGTTACTGCGTGGCGCACGGCGGTGGGAAGCGCTGCGCAGTGCCCGGGTGCGGCAAGAGCGCCCGCGGGCGCACAGAGTTCTGCGTGAAGCACGGCGGCGGCAAACGGTGCAAGGTCGACATCTGCGGCAAGAGCGCGCAGGGGAGTACGGAGTTCTGCAAGGCCCACGGTGGCGGCAAGCGGTGCACCTTCGGCACGGGCTGCGACAAGTTCGCCCGCGGGCGGAGCGGCCTCTGCGCCGCCCACGCGACGCTGGTGGCCTCGCAGTCCCAGTCCCAGGCACAGCAACGAGGACGCGGCGGCGGGAGCATGATCGGGCCGGGCCTCTTCCGAGGCATCGTGTCCTCGTCAGCCGCGGCCGCAGCCGCCAGCGCCATGAACTACGAGTACTCGTCGGGCGTGAGCGCGGTGTCGGAGTGCGACGGCTCGCCGGTGCCTACGCCGGGGAGGCAGGAGCTGATTCCTCCTCAGGTGCTGGTTCCCCTCTCTATGATGTCCCCGTCGCCATCCGCGGATAGGCGCAGGGAGAGTGGAGAGTTGTGTGTTCCAGAGGGGAGGGTGCACGGTGGTGGACTCCTGTCATTGCTCGGCGGGAGCTTCAGGAACGTCATTGACGTCGACAAACTCTCAAGCCGCTAGCTCGGATCTAAATTTCTGTCTGTCCAAATTATACTTCTTGATTAATACAATCCTTTCTTTTCGCAAAAAAAAAATTTATACTTCTTGAACCCACAAAAAATATTGAACATTCTACACGTCTTATAGTGTTAGATATGGGTGTCACATATGAACTGTTATGGGAAAGCTTAAATTCTTGGCAGGTCCAAAAGCTTTTGGGCCGTAATTCTTGTTGATTAGACCGATATCTCTACTCCTAATGTGTCAATTGGTAGGTCGCGTTTCGGGTTTTATTTTTGTCCCACCTCATCCGGTCTTTTTTGATACTTTTTTGGTACTTCCTCCCACCTCCCCCTTAGCCGTGAAAAACCAAGAAAAACTCCGCGATCGAGTCCCGCACACGCCCAAACTCCCGTCGTTATCTCTACTCCTAATGGAGCAGTTGGTAGCCTTGTACGGTTTATTTTCGTCCCACCATTTTCAACTGTTTTATTTCGCTGGTTTTTTTCGTCGCTCCCCCACCCCACCGGTTTAGTTTCGCGTCACCCTCTCACACAACGAAAAAAATCTTAACGGATCATAACTTTCCATGCTGGTGCAAGTTATTTTTAATAATGTCTTTATGTGAAAGAATCAATCACGATCAATCTCTAAATATCAAATCTAAATTAATTAACCTTACCTTAAATTGCTCAATCACATTAATTAGGAAACAAAATAACCGATTTTAAGAAAATATCTACTCTTAATGGAGGGTATTACATACCAAACATAGGTACGTCATTAGCTCGCTTCCTTCCCTTCGTCCCTCAGTCCCATGCTCGTGGCGCTGAAGTGGCATCGACAGGCGATGGTGGCGAGGACAGCACGTGGCAGCCCCTGAAGCACGAACACGATTGCACCTCGGGTCTGTCGTCTCCCAAGATATGGGTGAGTTCTCGTGATGCCCACCCTAAACCCTCACGTCCTACAAATTCCTCAACCTCTACCTTCTCGATTTCGTCCATGCTCTGATCCAAATGACGATGCAGCTCCGGCCGATTGACAATGGAGGTTTGCCATCCTTCCTCTCAGCACCCACTCCTGGAGGAACGACACGCCATGCCGATCGAACCCGGTCGAGATCACTCACCAAGATTGCTATTCGGAAGAAGAGTGGGACGGGATCTGCACTTTTGTTAATATAACATATACTTGTGCAGGTGCAGGTTTTGTTTTAAAAATCCAATTTGTTTATCCTTTTGTCGCTGAAATTGTTTACTAATTATGTCATTGGTTTTATTTCTTCTAGATGTTGTATATTCTTGGATTGAAGGGACTGTCTGACAAGGTGAAAGAGCTAATCTCTACTCCTAATGATCATGGGCTAATCTCTACAGTTTATTTTTGTCTGGGTTTTTTCGTCCCACCTCCACCCCCTAGCCAGCCCCACCCCTCGATCTTCTCCAAGTTTCCGGTTTTCTTTTTTCATGCAGGAAATCAGGACACAATCTATCTTTCCTTTAATGCACATCTCCCCAGTAAAAAAATCAGGACACTATCCCCTCCTTCCTATTAACACTAACACACATTTCTTCTGAAAATCCGGGACGTAATCCTCTCCTTCCCACTAATCTCTCTTATATGGCTTTCCCATAATTATGTCGGTCCTGCTCAGTTTGATATAATTCAATTTGGACGAAGGACGCCAGAGATTAACTTTCGCTGGCAGAGAAAGAGACTAGGGATTGATTGGTTTTAAACATTGGATTCGGTATTAGCTTAACATCTGCAGGAACAAGACGGCCATAGGAAAGGCTGGCTTGCTCGACCTGCATGTTTCCTGTATATTCATTCTCTCTCCAATTCTAATACAGTCCAATTGATCATTGTATATTTATCTAATCATGGTTCCTATATCGTTTTGTATGGCTACGTGATGGGGTCGCATCCACATGGGGGAATATAGCAGATTGGATCGGAAGCAGGCCGCACAGATGAACCACCCCACCTCGTTGTCTGCCTGCACGATCTCCATTAATATCCAGCGCCACCTCTCGAGTGGACGACCTGCATGTCGCCAACAACACCACTTACCTCTGCGCTCCGACCAAAGATCATTGTCCAGGTGACACTACTGGAATCAGCTAATTTGCCATCTGCCAGCTCTTTGCCGTCTGCTAGCTGACGGCAAAGAAGCTCTTTGCCATCAGCTACCAAAAAGCAGACGACAAAGATCAGGCGGACGGCAAAAAAGCTCTTTGCCGTCCGCCTGATCTTTGCCGTCCGCCAGCAGACGGCAAAGAGAGAGGTGGCCCCCACCCCCCGCCCATTTGGGAAAAACTTAACGGCCC